GGGGGGGGGTCAAGGGAGGTTTTGGGGGAGTTCCCCAGTGGACTTGGGTGGCTGGGGGAATTTGAGGGGAGCCCAGCAGGGGTTGGGGGTGTCACAGAGTTTTGGGGTTTCAAGGAATCCCGGGGGGTTTTGGGGTCCCCAGCAGGGGGGAGTTGGGATGGGGGGCTGGGGGTCCTGGAGGTCTCATGTGCAGAGGGACACTGCTGGGGTTTGGGGTCCCTCACGTGCAGCAGGGCGCTGGCTGCGTAGGTGCCCAGCACGGCGGCGAAGGTGCCCAGGCAGCGAGCAGTCTGGAACACGTCTGAGGGGACACCAGTGACACCAGTGTGGGACACCAGTGACACCAGTACGGGCTCCAGGGCCCCCCCTAGTCCCCACAGTGTCCCCAGTGCTCACAGGTGTGCAGCCAGCGGGACATGGGCAGGTTCCAGTTTGTCACCACCTCGGCCATGGAGCGCGGCAGCTCCACCCGCAGGGGCCGGGACACCGCCAGGTCCCTGGGGACACAGGGGACATCAGGGACAGGGACAGTGTCACACAGGGACACCCGCAGGGGCCAGGACACTGCCAGGTCCCTGGGGACACAGGGGACAGTGTGACATGGGAGGGTCACAGGGTCACTGTCACAACAGGGACAGTGTCACAAAGAGGGGTCAGTGTCACACAGGTGACAGTGTCACACAGCTCCAACCGCAGGGACCATGACATGGCCAGGTCCCTGGGGACACACAGGGGACATCAGGGACAATGTGACACACAGGGGACAGAGGGACGCTGCCAGGTCCCTGGGGACACAGAAGGGACGCACAGGGACAGTGCGACACCGCCAGTCCATGGAGACACACAGGGGACATCAGAGACAGTGTGACACGGGGAGGGGTCACAGGGACAGTGTCACACACAGAGCAGTGTCACACACAAATCAGTGTCACATGGGTCAGTGTCACATTATCAATGTCACACTCTCACTGTCACACACAAATCAGTGTCACACAGGAATCAGTGTCACACTGTCAGTGTCACTCAGGGCGTGGTCCCTGTCACTGTCCCCGCAGGGTGTCACTGTCCCCCCAGTCCCTGTCCCCGCAGGGTGTCCCTGTCCCCGTAGTGTGTCCCTGTCCCCGCAGGGTGTCCCTGTCCCCGTAGTGTGTCCCTGTCCCCGTAGTGTGTCCCTGTCCCCGCAGGGTGTCCCTGTCCCCACAGTGTCGCTGTCCCCGCAGGGTCTCCCTGTCCCCGCAGGCTGTCCCTGTCCCCGCAGTCTCTGTCCCCCCAGTCCCTGTCCCCGCAGCGTGTCTCTGTCCCCGCAGTGTGTCCCTGTCCCCGCAGTGTCCCTGTCCCCGCAGTGTCCCTGTCCCCGCAGGGTGTCCCTGTCCCCGCAGGGTGTCCCTGTCCCCGCAGTGCCTCACCAGTGCAGGTGCTCGTGGCGCTCGGTGTGGCCCGAGCCGGCCAGCGTGGCCGTGGCCTCGGACAGGAAGGCCACAAAGTAGTTGCTGAAGTGGAACGAGAGGGCGCTCTCGTAGGCACGGAGCCACCTGCGGCCGGGGGACACGGGGGGGACACGGGGGGTTTGGAGAAGATGCGAGGGGTTTGGGGGAGTTTGGGGGAGTTCAGGGTTTGGGGGACATTTTGGGGAAAGAGAGCAGTTCAGGGATTGGAAGAGTTTGAGGTTTGGGGTTTGGGGGGGATTTGGGGGAAATTGGGGCATTTCAATCAAAATAGCATAAAAAATTAGAAAATTCCTCAAGTTTTCTCACTGTTTCCAAGTCAAAATACGCTGTAGAAGAACTCAGGAACTCCTAAAGGCAGAAAATCTTCAGGTTCACCTGACACCTTTCAGAGGTTTTGTAAAATCCAATCAAAATTACATCAGGCAGCAATAAACAGGGAAGGAGCTTTTGACAGTAGAAAAGAGATCACTGTCATTCATTGGAGGAGGTGAAGGTCAGTGGTCAGAGGAGAGGAGCTGGGGGGTCCCTGGGGGATTTTGGGGGTCCCTGGGGAGGGTTTGGGGTCCCCCGGTGGGGGGGGTTCAGGGGTTCCCACTGTGGCTGGGGGGCCCTGAGGGATTTTGGGGCTCCTGGGAAGGGGTTTAGGCCCCCCCAGAGGTTTTGGGGGCCCCTGATTGAGGTTGGGGATTGTGGGGGTTTGGGGGGTCCTGGAATTTGGGGGGGAGTTTTTGGGGGGATTTGAGAGGGATTTTGGGGAGATTTTGAAGATTTGAGGGAGATTTTGGGGGAGGATTTGAGGGGGATTTTGGGTGGGATTTTGGGGGGGACTGTGGGGGGCTGCGGGGTCCCACCTGCGCAGGGCCCGTGCCCCGTACAAGGGCAGCAGGCTGGAGAAGAGGAATGGGGCCAGGCAGGTGCTGACCAGCAGGCAGAGCAGGGCCAGCCCCAGGCTGCGCAGCCCCTTCCGCGCCCACGCCGCGCTCTGGGGACACCGGCGTCAGGGACACCCCGCAGGGACACCCCCAAACCCAGCCCCATCACTGACACCCCCGCAGGAACACCCCCAAACCCAGCCCCATCACTGACACCCCCATAGGGACACCCCCGTCACTGACACCCCCAAATCCTGAAATCCCCCAACCCCCGTCCCCTCCCAGACACCCCCACTGCCAGCAGCACCCTGA